ATCTACAAACCGGCATATCCAAAATATCTTCGTCGATTTGCAAAAGATCATTAAGTTCGGCTTAACAAGTATGACTAGAGAAAAATGCGACCTGGAGATCATTAAGCTAACTTTTTTCGACAAAACGAAAAACCCATTTTTCTAAAATAGTGCATTTTATAGCTCTTTCAATTCTCTACAAACCGGCATATCCAAAATATCTTCGTAGATTTGTGAAAGAGCATAGAATCTTTGCTTGTTCCGTACCAGTTGGCGTTTGTTAGTGATAATAACAGTAGAGTTAATCTGGCATTCAGGAAAAACACAAAAATACGTTTTTTGTTGCGTTCAGGCATGTTTAACGGACTCGTTGATATATAGGAATGCATGTATGATAAAAATGTGATTGTTTATCATAGATATAGCATGTTTGATCACGAGAATTCGACAGGAACGAAAAAAGTTTAATATACGAAAAGACGTGGATGAATTTGACACTTGTGACGTGGAACGAAAAAACGAGAATTCATTGACTATTGTGAAATGTGTTAATAGTTTCGTTTTGTTGCTGGCCATATACTACAGGATAATGCATGAAACCTGTGTTGGTTGTAATCGGAGATTTGACGGTAAGCGTAAGAAGCGAAAAGTATCCTGTGTACTCGAACAAGCGTTCTTGTCTGCTCGATATTTGAAAAATATTTCTCTCGGTTCATATATGTGTGATTCCAAGTGTCGTCTTGAATATCTTAAATGGTTAAAGTATAATAATGAATTACAGTGTTTATTGAATGAAGGTGCAGTAATGTCAGATAAAGTGAGTTTTATTGAATCACGTTTTACCCCCCGTGGATTATTCACTTGTTTCGCCTATAATAGATGGAGGTTGACGAAAAGGAAGATGAGATAATAACTCCTGTTACAGTTTCCGCCCAAACTCAAGTCGATCTACCCAGCTGTCAGATAACAATTCCAATCATTCGAACTTCAAAGTCTCATCGGTAATACGAACACTGATGATAGCTGAATACATTTCGACGGATATTTATAATTATCAGGTCGTGCGTTGTTTGTGGTAAAATTGACCCGTCAGTGTCGAAGGTCTTGCACGATGAATTGAGAAAGTTGATATTCATGAGACGATCAGTTATGGTACCGAAAGGATCCCGATGTTGTGGTAATCATATGAATGGAAATACTGGACTTACATACGAAGCATTTCAGCAAATAGAAGGTTATATCAGCGGAGCTGCTAGGAAATAATTATTGCTAAATAATTATTGCTCTCTTTGTTTAAGGTGGGTGACTTTGAAGATCTTTTAGGACATTTGTCCAGTTTGAGAAGACGTTCGTTCGTTCAATGAGAGTTGCTCTTGCTGTTTTTTTTTGTAAACTTAGACTTGGTCTAAGTAACAAAGCTCTTTCATCTCTCTTTGATTTAAAAGATAAACAAACTGTATCTCGGACAGTTCATGGTGTACGCAAGGCTCTCATGCAGACTTTCGTTTCTCAAAATATCGGTTTCGACCATATCTGTCGTCAACAAGTTATTTCCAATCATACGACGTCAATTGCTAGAAAATTATTGACTTCTGATCCAAACCAAGCTTGTGTAGTAGTCGATGGTATCTATATTCCAGAACTCTTGAGCACTGAATAAGCAATTGGATTATTTTCTCCTCACTTAGAGACATATTTTTATATACAAAAGTCCTCGAACAACAAATTTCAACGTCGCTCGTTTAATATTCACAAACACCGATCGCTTCTCAAACCGATGTTAGTCACAGCTACAGATAGGTACATCATCTGCGTTCTTGGTCCGTTCTTATCAGATTCGAAAAATACTGATGCCAAAATCTGAAAGCACAGTCTGACCACAAATGCTAACAATATTCTAAAGTGGTTTAGTAAAGATGATGTAATCGTAGTCGATAGAGGATTTAGAGATTCGATTGGTACAATGAAAGCACTCGGATTTCACGTCGCTATGCCTCATTTTCTTAATGGAAAAAAGAAAGAGAACTCATTGGATGTATCCACTTAGCACCTGATTTTAATCATTTAATTTAGTTCACGGCTGAAGAAGCCAACACAACAAGATGTATTACTAAGATTCGTTGGGTTGTAGAGAGTGCAAACGGTAGAGTTAAAAGTCTTCAAATTGTGTCAATATCTATAACCGAGATATAAATATTGATTCAAAATATTGTTACCTTTTCATTACATCATTCTGTGTCTTTTTCATAGGAAAAATAAAGCAATGGGCCTTTTTAAATAAAACAATCCAAAATGGCACGATTGCATATTTATCTGATTATACAAATATCATATGTGGTATTATTAATAAATATCGCACAGCTGCTGTTCTTCGTTTAATATAAGACCACTTTTCTGGCTCCAAAGTAGCTGACAGACTGCTACTATCCGCATTTTCTCATTCACGTTGTACGTACACTGATCCTATTACCACTTCACTTTGTATTTTTATATTTTAGTACGCTGATAAAATGTGGACTCGTTTGAAAGACACAAATAAAGTGAAAGAACGATTAAGTAGAGAAAATCTTACACATCATTCAAAATGGAAGGATCAGGATGCACAAAATTACTCATTTCCGCAACTAACCGAACAGGAGCTTCGTGATATCACCTTCGGTGAGCTGGACACGCAGGAGAAGATACAAAAAGAAAGTTTTCATGACTCCCGACTGATTACTGTGCAGTATGCAGCAGTGCATCATAATGGAATCAATAATGCAAAACAGTTTTCTTTCTTATACAACGCATCTGATATGTACGTTTCTCTTTAGGAATATTTCAAGTGAAGCAAGCTTCGTCCTATGTTCAAGAACACTTAAAGCCATCAGCAGCTTTTCCTCAAGATTTTGAGTTTACGATACAAACAGCGGACAATGTTGACGATTTAGTAAAAGTTCGGTATCAATCACGTCATTCTAATAGTCAGATATATAACACATATATTGAATATAACAACGGCATTCTAAATCCGATTTCCAGATGGTTTTGCACTTGTACAGCTGGCGAACGAACTGTCGGTTGCTGCAGTGACATCGCTGCCACTTTGTGGCACCTTTGCTTGAACCAGACGGCTATCCATGACGTTAATCAATCACCAAATAATTATCTTAATCTTGTAGAAGATGCTTTACAGTTTTCTGATTACGAGAATTCGTCCGACTAGGACGATGACACATTATTGTATCAAATAAACTCTAACTAAAAACCAGCTTTTGCAAATCGACGAAGATATTTTGAATATACCGGTTTGTAGAGAATTGAAAGAGCTTTCTAATTATGGGTTGATTTCTTTATACGGTCCTATAGTGCCAGAGAAAAGCGCATGAGAAAGATTTTAATAGTGCTCCATAATGGCCGCTTCCAAGTGAAGATCCTATCGGGATGGAAGGGCTTTAACCACTCGAAAGCACCTAAAATCGAATGTTCCTGGTTTTCTGCTAGTCTCAGGACCATTTTGAGCAAAAAAAAAAAGTGGGCCGATTCTTTAGCTTCTACGGACCCGTCCTTTGTTTAGAATAAGAGAACTTTCGTGGAAAGGGACGCAACATCAAACGAAATCATTTGTTTTTTCCTATCCTCCAATTTCAACAACGAAATCTTTTTGACAAAGTCAACAGTGTCCCGAATGACGAAGGGACTATTTCGAAGAGAAGCCAGTCGTGTTGAACTTGAACTTGAAAATTTATTTTATGCCCAAGAAAACATATCGTAACAAAGGAAAGGACAAAAAAACCAAAGGCTTGTAAATAAAGTGCCACCACGCGGAAAAGAGAACTGCCGCGAAAAGAGAGTATAGAAGAAAAAAACAACACACTTTTAAGGACAGATGAGCGCGGAACGCCAGTTTGAAAGTAGGAATTGTTTGACAAGATACAATAGTATGTGGGAGGGATTCCAGTCGACAGCAGTACGGTAGTAAAAAGAAGAAGCTACGTGTTCTTTCGATACTGTCGATGTCTCAACCTGCATACTATTCTGACGGTTACTATTCAAGCAGTCTGATCTATTGTCTTCTAACGGTTTTATAAAGGGTGGACAGAAAGCGCAGAGAGGTGAAAAAAAATTTTTAATTTTGAAAAAATGTAATAACCAAAAATACTTCCTCCGCGTAGATAAATCTGGCAGCTTTGGTTTGGTGATCAAAGAGCTTACCCAACCATCAAACTTTTTAGAGATCATACGAGCAGTTAATTTAGTAATTTGATCTAAATCTTCTTTATACCATTTACTATCATAAACTACACTAGCGTAATCTAACCTACGAAAAATACATGCTTTAAAAATGGCTACACGGATCTTTACCGGAGGCTCCCGGAACGTTCTAAACATTGCACCTAATGGTCTTCTATATCCGAGGATTACGTCTCTAACGTGCTCACCCCACGACAGATTAGACGTTAATTTTACTCCCAGAAGTACTACTGATTTTTCCCGTTTTATGATCGAGTTATTGATCGAAAAGCTCAGATGATCCGCTACAGACTGGTTACGATTTGTGAAGTAAATCCACATGCATTTAGAATGGTTAAGGGACATGAGACTCCGTTGGCACCATTCCTTAATTTTATCGATGAAAGTCTGGCACTCGGTTACGGAATCTACGACATTCGCAGAACATAATAGCGAGCAGTCGTTAGCGAACAGAACGGATAAAGATGGTAGCGAACCCAGGTCCAAGAAAACGGCACCGTTAACGGCCCGTTAACTGGTCGTTAACGGTAAGTTAACGTGCCGTAAACGGACCGTTTTTAGTTCCTAAACGGACCGTTTTCAGAACCTAAAACTCGTAAC